ATGAACAAGAGAACAAGGTATGCTGTGTCCAGACATGGGACATGGGGCTTGTATTAGTAAATAATAGTAAAGATTGCATCATCATCATGATACCATATAATGTACACTAACGTACATAGCTGAAAATGAAGAATCTATTGTAATAATAATAATAATAATAATGTATTGTACATGTACATGTACATATGCATTCGTCTGTAATTGTAATCGAAATTTTCACCAAGGGAGCAAAAGAATAAGGTACAAGTACATGTACGTGTACATGTACATGTAGATTGTTGCTGTACATGTATGTTCATTTAGTTCAAAGAGACTTTTGGTTTTGCTAGTTTTGGCAGGGATTGTGTCTATAAATATAAAGCTGCCAATATAATTACCATCACATTATACATGTACTGTACATGTACATGTACATGTAATAATTGTCTTTAATTTATCTTTTCAAAAGAAAAAGAAAACAAGTTCCTCAAAGCCAGTATCTGAGCCAGTGGCTCCACCCACTTTTGCTCCAGCCCCGCCTACAACAATTCCATCAGCCCCGCCCTCTTCCTTGTATGGCCCAATATACGCTGACTTGGACTTTGTAAGATACACATGCATACTGTACATGTACACATGTAGAATTCAATTTTTATGCATCAACAAATAAATTTTTGGGTGATTTCAGAGCCAATTTATAAGATGGCTCCTTTTTAAAAATGCTCATAACTCAAAAATTATTTGTCGGAAACAGCTCAAACTTTCAACATAGCATAAGGACATCAATGTGTATCAGAAAATGTAATAAAAATTTGGGGTGATTTTGGAGCCATTTTTTGGAAAAAACCATGGGCTATAGCCTTGGGTATTTTTCAAAATTTGGCTCATTTTAAAAAATGCTCATAACTCGAAAATTATTTGTCGGAAACAGCTCAAACTTTCAACATAGCATAAGGACATCAATGTGTATCAGAAAATGTAATAAAAATTTGGGGTGATTTTGGAGCCATTTTTTGGAAAAAACCATGGGCTATATAGCCTTGGGTATTTTTCAAAATTTGGCTCATTTTTTAAAATCCTCATAACTCGAAAATTATTTGTCGGAAACAGCTCAAACTTTCAACATAGCATAAGGACATCAATGTGTATCAGAAAATGTAATAAAAATTTGGGGTGATTTTGGAGCCATTTTTTGGAAAAAACCATGGGCTATAGCCTTGGGTATTTTTCAAAATTTGGCTCATTTTTTAAAATCCTCATAACTCGAAAATTATTTGTCAAAAATAGCTCAAACTTTCTGCATAGCATAAGGACATCAATGTGTATCAGAAAATGTAATAAAAATTTGGGGTGATTTCAGACCCAATTTTTTGAAAAAATTGGCTCTTTTTTAAAAATACTCATAAATATTTGTCAGAAACAGCTCAAGCTTTCTATATACATGTAGCATAAACCACAGCCTTTTCTTTTTTCCATAAATTGTTACTGTACTTAATTTTTTTTCGTTTAGCTATGCATGCAAAATAATGAAAACAATTTTGTAAAAATTTTGACACTAATACACTTGTATTATTTTTATTAGTCTCAGGCCACACCTACTACTAGCACCGTGCCTGCTCCAAAGACAACTGATAAAGGAATAACTGAAGTAAAGAGAGAGAGAGAGAGAGAGAGAGAAAATACTGATGGAGGGAAAATTTATGATGTGGATTGCTTTTTTTAATAGTTTGAGCAATACAGCTCACGTGGACAGCAGCAAAGGACTGGAAATACCTCACATACACAACTTCAACAAGTAAGAGAAACATACATCTATTTTTAGTAACAGTGTACATGTAATTATTCTTTTATTTTGTTACTAAAAATAGCAACAGCCAGCACCTCAGGTCAATGGTGCGTCTCCACTTTGCTCTACTCTCAATCGCCTCATTGATCAGTTCAATCAGAGGATGGAGAACGTCTCTGGAAAAGGATTGAGCATCGCGACCGATCAGGCCATCCTTTCCCTTCATCAAGACCTCACTGCTCTACACATTCAACTCCTCCAGCAAATAGACGAAACACAAGAGAAGAAATGTGAGGCAAAAAGAGAGAAAGTTGACTAATTTTAAATATACAGTACATGTATAAATTGACACGTGTCCACATGTTATATCTCCATTTCTTCACCTCTAGCTGATCAAGAGAGGTTCCTCCACAAGTTAGAAGAGTCCAAAGAAGCCAGGATCACTTTTGATACGATGAAGAGGCGACACGATGAGCAGCTACTCCAGCAGGAGAGGGAGCAGCAAGCACTGGCTCAAATGCAAGTACAAATGAAACTTGCTTTGCTCAGGCAACAGAAAGCAGAGCAAATGGCGTACGGTCAGTCAATGCAGTCCGAGAGACTAAACCGTTTGAGTAATCAAAGAGCCGAATATGAGAAAACACTTGCAATTCAGAGAGAAAACGAGCGATTGAAACTAATAACACTGGAAGAGCAGGTATACAAGCAACAGTTTGGAGGAGTGGGCGGAGGCACTGTTGGCATGGAAACAGCTCCCTATGGTGCTCCTCCTCCTTCTCTATATAATGCCCCTCCTCCTTCAATGGCTCCGCCTCCCCCTGTGGAGCCTTATGGAGCTCCTGGAACAAGTTACGCAGGACCTCTACCACCTAAAGTTGATCCACCAACTTATCAACCAATCTCAGGCTATCAGCAACTCCCAGTATCAGCCTATTCTCATCCTCCACCCACTCAACCTGGTCCTCCGCCCACACACTATCAGCCCCCTACTCTTTACCAGCCACCTGATCTCGGCCCCCCTCCTCCTAATTATTCTTATTCTTCTCCATATGGGGCTCCTCCCAGTATGGCTCCATCTACTCTAGCAGCTCCACCATATGGTCCTTCTTCATCCACTGAGGTTCCTTTGTTCCAGCCAAATGAGGGGTTCCCTCCTTCAGAGATCCAGCGTGTTCCTTCAGTTCCTCCTCTCATTTCATTTGATTAAAGAAGAGACTCTGCTTTTGTTCATTAGCATAATT